TTGAACAATGTAATATTGATTTTATATAACAGTAAATTACCCGCGATTTCCTTTGCATGCAATTAAAAAAAATGATATTTAGCATATGTTTTCTTCCAGACAGTGTTTTATTCGTTTAATTTCAGCCAGATTAATGCAGCCGTTCACAAGAGCTTCTAACAAACCATCTATCCATCCACTTTCTCATTTTTTAAATACATATATATAGTAAGAAGTAAGATTAGTACGAAAAAAAATTATTGCTCTGATAAATTGTACTAAAAATTAAATAAAGTTTACGCATATTACATGAATGCGATGCAAGAATTATTTCTGACAACCCTGACAAGATGGATCGCATTTTAAAAGTAAATATTAATTCAAACGGCAGATGAGACGGAGCATAATATTTTTTATCCCTCATATACGCAAGAAATAAAAAAAGTACGACGGCAACATTTTATAATCTCTATTCTTGGGGAGATGTGTTTAGGGCAACCCCAGTGGCAGGTATATGCCGCAGGTGTGTTGCCAGTAAATGATTTGTATTGACCCACAATCGAACTATTGTAAGGTGTATCAAAGTATTACGTAGCTTTCTATGAAAGTGGCGATTTGCGGTCTCGATGCGATTTACAGAATGACCTATACTTACGGCCTGCCTTATTAATAATTACGGGTAACCACCAGCTTTAGATAGTAGAATTATATTATGAATAACGTGGGCTATCTTATGTCGCATCTTAATAATATTCATAAAACAATTAACAACAGTTGTGTATATTCGAAGTATACTACTCTTATATCAAATTCTATTTAAACTGAAGAGATTGTTTGAACACGCTAATCTTTAAAACTAATTATTTGCATTAAAAAAAACTTTTTGTAATTGTTAGCCTCAATATTGAGGATGGCGATAGGCTATTGAAGATCACAGAATATACCTTAGGAGCCGATTGAAACTGAAAAACTAAGCGAAAAGAACAAATTAGAATAGATAGCCAGAAATCATAATAATGACTTGAAAACATCCCTGTAGTTTTTATTTCATAATGAGAGCCGGATGCTATTTATCTTTTAGTTTTGATTTTCGTTTTCCTCACCATAGAAAATTTTATCTCATGATTCCATTGTTTGTCAAAGAACATATAAAAACGTTTTTGTTGTAATTTTAAATTTAAAGATGGTCTGTAGAAACCCAGAGGTAAATGAATGATATTAATCTAAAAAAAAAATTGTTAGAGCCAAAATTCATCTTAAATTTAACTATTTTATATCATTAGTTGAAATAAATTGTACACAATTCTTAAACAATTACAGCCTTTCAAATAAATGCGGTGTAAGGTTATACTTAGGACAAATTTTGCTTATACTCAGTTTATTTCTAAGTTAAACTTTATCCCACTTTTATTTGTAAGGCTGTTAAAGTCTGAATCAAGAATATAGATATTCAAACTCCCGAAGAGGTAATGGCGAAGTAAGACATGTATATAATGTTACAAAGTGTATGATAATCACAAACCCGTTCGGTAATTCCCGTTTTGGTTCGTTCCGAGAAACTGTAGCGATTAATACTTAACTGTATAATGGAACTCCACGTTCGATGTGTACCAAGTTTACATTCGTATGGGACCACTTTTTGTACCATCACGAGTAAACAATAACACCTGTTGCTACAAGAGCGACAGGTTCTCACTGCTTAAACACCTGTATAAAAATATTGTTATCTCTTTTTTTTAAACGAGAGTGACAAGGATGACTACATGATTTTAGTCGGTGTATCAGGATGGAACCTTTAATAATAGCAATAGTAAAATACACTCACGAATCTTTTTACAGAGATATCAGTTTTCTGATGTTAAGTGACCACCTTCTCTCGTTTTATCTTAGATGCCTGTTTTAAGTGAGATTTTAAGCTTAAATCAATCTTATAACCATGGCACGTTAGTTAATTGCTCTTTCGGTTCATATTAATGAAGAAAACGTAGAAATTCAAGTTATGAAAAGGTGACATTTAATCAAAACACGGTAGTTATTAAGTGGTGACGGAAAATATATAAAATGGAATTCCTGAAAAACGTATTCGCAGTCGTTTTATTGCGAATTACCGTCATATCAAAGTTGTGTTATCAAAACCGGCTTTTAAACCGACAATACATTTTAATTACCTTCGACTGAAGTCATTTGTTTGCATGTAACAGATCCCATACAATTTAAAACATTGAAGGTTTGTTATTGTGTGAATGTATGAAGTTGAGCTTCCGAGTGTCGAGTTAATGAGCATTGTGTTGAGGAAGTTGAGACCGTGTTGATATTATCATGTCACGTCATATCATATCACATCGTTAACATCACGAAGGTCTCGGCTTACTGGACATGAGACGAGTAATCTTGGCTCAAATATTCATTAAAATTTCTTACAACCGACTTTAAAACTGATGGTGGAAAGATTTCCAGTCATAGCATTTTTATTACACAACTCAAATAAATTTTTGATCATAATCCCAGATTGATTTGATAGCCAGAAATTAATGTCAAGAGGACAGATGGTGTCGGTGATAAACATTTGAAAATTAGTTCGATCACGAACTAGATGTTGTCTCAAAAGGTTCGATATCTCCACTTTATGCGACGTAATCAATGTGTGACTTTAATAATGTAATTCCTATTAAATAATATCCTATTTGTTGTGTAAGAAATTATGATGATATAGTAGTATTGTTTGTCATTAAATTACTAGATAATGTATCTACTTGTAACAAAAGTTTCTCTCAATAAAGATAATGAGCTTCCTCATTGACTGTCCGATACTTATATAATTTTACTTGTACAAAAATAATGAAGAATTGTCTTGATATTAAATGTCGTAGATATACAAATAAACTGCGTCTGTTATTTTTATATGTAAACGTAGTTATTTGCATTTTCTTTTAAGAAAATTGTTGATTCTAACCCTCTGATCCTGTTTCCACATAGTGGCTGACATATGTATAGAGTTCTATCTCCACAGGTTATAAATCTTAACATTTACTTGCAGATAGAATAGCTCCTGGCACCCCTCTAATATTTATTCATTCATAAACCTACCGCACTCATCACTGTGTACACATAATAGTTCCTTTTGTTACTATGTACACAAATACAAACATATAGATGTAAGCATAATATGTTGCTATAAGAGAATATAAACAAGGCTAATAGCTTAACATACTTATGTTTCTAGAACTCATTTCTAAGTTGTATCAACTATAATTACGGTCAGTAACGTGTTTATATTTTTGGCGATAAAAATTACCATTTTATTAAAATTTTCGCTTAATAACGACGATACATCCTGCTGAAATAAATGCAAAGAAATAATATTTTTTTATTAACTCTAGACTCTAGAATTACTCTTCACTTTAAGAAGTCAATTGATCATGATGATATTGGGTACAGTAAGTCAGAGGTAAAAAATGGACGTTAAGTACCTTTTATTCCTGAAAACAAAACGTATGCAAAGTTACATAGCAGTTTATAGTTGGTCTACTCGTTACCGGCATGTTGTGCAAGCTGAGGACAAATAGACAAAGTCTAACAGAACAATCGGCGGACGTGCCTCAGCAAACAGCCTCCGCTGACGAGCACTCGCTCCACTTGCAACGGCAGCATCTAACTGCAGATGCAGTATTCTGTTAGATGCACTACATAGGGTTGTCATAAACTGTATAGGGATGAATTAGGAATTTTGGGTAGCACTGGTCTTTCGTAGTAGACTATTTGCTGATTTTTTAATGTAATTTGGGGCATAATAAAAGTGTTTTGTAATTATGTGTTATAAAATACAAGACATTCTTCTTTTGATTATCGCTACATAAACTAATTTTTCGGTCCTTAAGTATAATAATAAACTAATCCAGTCCCCTCCCTCTTGTTTGAAATGAAAAACTGTTCATCTAAATAAACATAAAATTTATTTCATGTGACAACCCTAATTAACATCATGGCGGTCGTACAAGTACAATTATCCTATCGGTAATTTATTACGATCAAGTCGAGAAAAGTCGGCACTAATTCTAAGAACGAACTGAATATAAATTATCAATAAATAGATTTTCTCCTGACTTTCGAAGTTAAAAGTAAGCTTGCATGGTTACAACGATTACCTAACCACTTTATTTATCTTTTTAACATGAATGCGTTAAACGACATAAATATGGTAAAAAAGAAAATATATTTAGAAAGTGCAACTCTGTCCGCTCTGTTTATACAACTAATAATACTCGTTACATTGAACGCAATGTGTACTCTACATAATACCGTAAACATAGTAAACCGATAACTTTTGCTTGGCACGTGAATACATTTAAATGCTAGCCTAGCCTTAAATCGTAAAAACACATATTTAATTCATTTCTATTTGTAAATTGTTCCTAAGTCATTTACTCGATTAGATAACTAATACTATCCATTTGTTGTTAATGCTGTTTTTGATAATGTATGTAAAATACCCGTTATTTCGTATCCTTATGAACATTACAAATCTGTACGTCATATTAGATGTATAGTTATAGTGAGTTCAAACAAATCATCTAATTGTGAATAAGTGGTCAGGTGGCTATTACGACTGCGGTAACTGGGCCAGATCTATGAGCGACTCGACTTGACAATGCTTGCAGTGGCCACGCGCCGGCACCAAACTAGGCCAGCCGGTATCACTGTTACTGTTTGTTTTCATTTATTTACAGTGTAATTGTAACATTTTTAAAGGTGTAAAAACATTTAAAAAACCGCGTAAATGAGATTAACTTTGAAATTTGTTTATTTATCTGAAACTACTCAAGCGATTTTGATGTTTCTTACTTTTTATACAACTTAAATGTTTAGATTTTTCACATCAGATTTACTTACAAGTTCGTAAAAAGTGTAAACGCATAGCTTCATGTTTTTACTGTAGCTTATCTAGCGTCATTTTGTGATTTTGAATGAAATACGCCGGTAACTTTACGTATTATTAAATTTAATATTTTGTGTTGTTGCAGATTATGTTCCGCGGCGGCGTGGTGGGTGGCCTGGACGCTCGCCGCGACGCCGCACTTGCCCGCGTACTTGTGCGCCTGCAAGCGCGGGCACGCGGCCTGCTGGCACGCCGTCGGGCGCAGCGCCTGCGGACACAACACACCGCAGCACGGTAACTAAAATTTACATCTGATGTGTTTAATTTTATTTAATACGTGCCAACACACTCGTTTTGAGATTAAATTGATCGTAATGATGTTGATAAAACACGTTACATCGTCTATTTACACCTGAATCTTTACATAGTTTTGATATCGCTGAGGTTATTTTAGGTTTACTGTCTCAAACAAATGAGGTGAGCTATACTTCAATCTATCGATGCTTATCTATATCCTACTTCGATATCGAATAAGTATGTGACTTCAAGTAATGTATGTAAATTCTGCTAATTTAATACTCTTTGATACGACCTAAAGGGTGTTGTAAATTGAATTGTGATGTAGCAATTTTATGTGTTATTTTTGTTGGTACTTTCAGATGCGTGCAACGCAACGTTCGCGCGTTCCTGGCGGTGCGCGACTGGCCGTGGTGGCGGCTGCTGGTGCGGGTCACACCACTGCTCGCCGTGCACAGGACGGAACACAGGCTCAAGCAAGCGCAGGTACATACATATATAAGAACATTAGCTATGCAAAACATATTTTAGGTAATTTTGGAAGGATGTTTGTACATTTATACCTCGATTCAGCGAGAGACTTGATAGTTAACTGTTATCGAGTCAGATGACAAAAACTACATAATATTTAGGGTCTCGTATTATCTATACTTCTATACTAATATAATGAAGTGTAAACACACACTACTTCATGGCATACGATGTCAGCAATCACAGCATGTTTTTTTAATAATTTCTTTAATGAAAAGCTCTTCACTTATGACACGCTTTAGACTATATATTTTCACGCTATTTCACTTAGGGGGTAAATAAATTGGAAAAATACCTTCACGTGGGAAAGGGACCAACTACAAGGATATTTTGGTAACAGTAATTTTGACATTATTATTTAAAAATTTGACACACGTAAACAATAAAATAATGATTTTACAATTTCATGGTAATGAAGTCGCCCGGGAACAGATAGTAAATTATAAAATATAGGAAATCCTTTTTCATAATGATTACAATACTGTCACTAAACGCTATAAAAACGCACATACATTGTGTAAAGCTAACCTATAATTGTAAGGTTATCTAAACCACGATAAGCATTGTGTGCAACGCCCATCGGTATAAATCCCGGTGTTGGTGTCGTGAAGTGAAACAGTTCAATGCCCCTACAGATGCTCCCGATATGGACGTCGTAATTATATAGAAAATGCTGCGTTTTGATATTATCATATGTTTTTTTAGTATAACTGCTATACATGATTTTTAAATGCTAGAAAGAGACAAAGTTACAACCATCTTATTAACAGCAAAGATAAAGTAAAATTAAGATAAAAAAATCTGGCAATCTTTAAAATGACAGTAGGCGTGGATAGATATGTAGATATTTATTTATTAAATTTAATAATACTATTAACTATTATCGCATTATTATTGTCACTTTCTTGTGATAACTATTGTTACCACAGAGTTTAATAAGAGCATATGCAATACCAGACATTGTTTGCGCAGTAGTGTTTGCTACCTTTCCACAGAGTAGTTATAGTCAGAGATAGTTATCACTATCCGCATTCCTCTGTAATAATGACTTTCCAAATGTATCAGTCAGTGAAAGGTTATATGAATTTATAGTTGTACTGTTTAATGTAACGATTTTAATCCTTGAATATGCTTGGTTAAATTATTCAAATTAAAATCTACAATTAAGTAAATTTTATTATGCTGTTGATGGTAAATGGTAATATTATGTTTAAGAAAGTAGAATACATAGACTAGACTATTTTGTTTTGTTCTATGAAAGCGGAGATCAGAAATAGGAAATAATCTTTCACTGAATGAATAATAGATATATTTATGCAGTCTATTGACGTTAAATAATAAAATAATTGTGGCAGATTATTGTAAATAACGGAAAAAGTTTTAAAACACGCGTATTATTGAAATTGTAAATATTATATCGTGTTATTGTTATAATGAGAGTAGTGTTCAGTTTGAGAAGTAGTGTTGTTAACGTCACTTGTGCTAAGAAAATAGAGCATTAAGTAGATGTAGGGTAATATAGAGATGGTGTTCTGTGATGTTTGTTATTAAAAGTGTTAACACGAATGAAGCGAAGTCGAGTAAGTAGTGGTTAAGTAATCTACTACACATTTACTAAGTGGCTTACCTTGTTAATAATAATGTGGAAATGACTGTTAGTATAAAGAAAAATTTAAATAAATTTATGTAAATGTAAGTAAAATTTTTTTAGAAAAAAAAATTATTAACTTAACGTAACTTGTTTTAAAAAGCACAGTTATAATGCTCTAAGTAATATTAGCATATCAACAGGGATTAATCCCTTACTTATATCCTTAACTTTTCATTTAATTTAAATATTGCATGGTTCACACTTCGCCAAAACAACTGGACATTAGCGCCCAATAACTGCACTGGCATAATGTGAATACTATCTGGCGCCAGTGATTCCATTCGATACCTGGCCTGCGCTACTCTCCAACTGTACTGGCTAAATGTAATCCAAGTATAACGCCAAGTGCTGCGTGACCAAATCATCGAATTCGATGCGTCGAGTTTTTGTCTACACCCAAACCTGTCATTGTCAAGGTGCACCTGTCGGGTTGCCTAACTTTTTGTACGATATAATCTCGCTGCAGCGTTACGCTCTGTAATCTTATGTCATTGCATCGGATAGAAGATTCATTGTTGGTTCTTATAGTTTTATTTGAAAAAATCATGGGAATTTATTTCCTGTGAACTAAGAACAACTTTGTATAAAGATATAGTCGCACTGGAAATAATTTAAAGTTTCCGATAGTTTTATCCCGTATTCTCTCAAAGTTTAGCCGCAATCATACTAATATTATAAATGATAAAGTTTAGAGGGATGGATTGATTGATGTATGTAGCCTAAACGGCTCAACGGATTTCGATGAAATTTAGTATAGATATAAAGGATAGTGTGGAAGAACACATAGGCTATTCGATTTTATTTTATTTTTTAATTCCACGCGGACGGAGTTGCGGGCGACAGCTAGTGTTTTAATATTTTGTTTTGAAAGCATTCAATATCTAAGTGGTTTATCAAACCTTATCGATACACACTCATTGCAATACGTTTGCATCACATTAGTTAGTTAATTGTATCAGTAACTGTATTGATGAGTAAAAACTGATGGGTTATTGCGCTTCGATACATATGGATGTTAACGGGCCCCTGTGTTAAGTACGTATGCACCTGTTCAGTCATAATTGATGTATTAATACAAGTTTACATGTAAAAACTTAAAGATTAAAATCAATACATATATAGAATGCTGTATAAGATTTGCCTAATTAATGAATAATTATCTGAAATTAAATATAACATTAAGTGACTCTGTCTGCAGAAAATATTAATAACGGGATTTTAAACTACCGAAATACGGTTTTTATAAATGTAATGTAAATCGGTTAACTTGTTATTATACATCTGCAGTTCTTGTATGTATGTATGTTGTTATGACCCATAACTGTCACTCCCAAAGTATAGCCATATAGCGGTTAGGACACATCGGAGTATTTTGTTACGCTCTATTTCCTTTGATACACTGGTTTGGTATTGTCGAGATACTATGGTATTCAATAGCGATTTGTGCATATTGTTTATCGATAGAAATGCCTGTAACAAACCATATCATACTAATATTATAAATGTGAATATTTAGATGGATGGATGGATGTTTGTAAGAGTTTGTAGCCTAAACGGCAGAACTGATTACGAATAAATTTTGGTACAGATGTAGAGGATAGTCAGGAAGAACAAATAGGCTTACACTTTTGTATTTTCTTAATTCCCCGCGGGCGGAGACGCGGGCGAAAGCTAACTAGCGAAAGCTTCATAGACGTGTTGTTACTTAAAGTAAATTACAATGTAGATTATTTTTCTTTATTCCCAGCATATTATAGTTATCTAAATCAATCTTCTAAGGCATGTTTCATTTATGTTTTTTTTTACTGTAAAACCGTGATAACACGATAGAAATCGCTAAAGTCAATCTAAATCTCATTACGCTCGATTCAATTTACCATAATCTTGTAAAAACAACGCCCTTTATTACAGTATCAAGCTTCCGGGGCTTTCCATGAAGCTTTGTAAAAAGCTCTATAATGTATCCTCGTTAGTTCTTGTTTTATTAGAGAATACAGCATTATGCCGCAGCTTTTCCTGTATATTAACAAAAAAGACGAACATTTCATCGTCCTTTCTTTGCTAGAATTAGATTTAAGCAAAATGAATGTACAAAATTTTTACCCATTATCCTTTAAAGTTACTTAAAAAGTTAATGAAAAGGATTATGGGTTTCTTTGCTTCTAAAATTGTTTTATTGACACTAATCTAGTCTCTCGGTTTTACCTGATAAATTGCAAATTGGATTCGTAAATACTAAACTAAGTTAGTAATATCAGCATAAATTTTGTGCTAGATTGTACAAACATTTGTATAAAGATTTTCAAAAGTTCTTCTTCATAATAATGATTACCTTGAATCAATTATCGAAAGGATATTGCTTAAGTTTTTATTATTGTCATGTACATGAAATTATAATCGCTATATAATATCTTTTAATGTCCATTATGAAGCAATCTAGAGCCGTACAGTCGAGTGCATAATGCAGTTTTTTGATGCGTTACATCCTGATAGCTTCTTCGTAATGTTAAATTTTCATGTAGATTACTGCGTGCTCTTACGATTGCGTACAACTTACAATGTTTGCGAAATAATTAGTATTGCGAATTTAATTGTTAATGTTACTACAAAGTAACATTAACAATTAAATTGTAGAATTTAAATTCTACTTAAGTAACAAATACATTTATTTATTTAAATTATTGTTGCTTAAGAAAGTCAAGTTTAAGTTTTTTCAACAGTGAGTTATCTAAATCTAGATTGGAAATTCGGTTAAGTAGGCATCTGTAGATAAATTACTCAAATGTGTATAACCAATCAACATAAAGAAATTTCAACATTAAAACAATTAAGAATGCCCTATCTTGACCTAGACAAGTAAATAAATAATCAATTTAGACCTAAAATTTAAGCCTAATTTTAGTCACTTTGCTTTTCCACCCGTTTCTTAAAAGGAAAGGATGGGAAGGAAAAATTGACGGCGGAGGAGACACATAGGAAAGGGAAATGTCCTCTTTATGTGCGTCTCCTCCGTCAATTAAGGGTATTTATGGGCAGCGGTCACTTTCCATTTCCGTGGATTCAGTTGGCCGTTTGCTCGTTTTTCACCTTATAGTATAGAAAAAAAAGAAATATCATGTAGTAAAGTAACATTTAGACATGTCGTAATTATTTATTACATACCTTATCTAATATGTAAATGTAATCTTTGAAATAGTACGGAGAACGCTTTTCTTGAAATTTGTGCACGCGATCGTCATACTTGATTGGGCAACGAGACCACTGTTAGTCGCTTGCACGCTTTCTTTGGAAAAATATTGATTTACGTAGCGACGTTAAATCTAGTGTGAATATATTTAAAAATCATCGTAATACCGCACTTTTTGTTGGCTTAATGAAAACAGCGCCCTCTTGCATTTCAATTGAACACAAATAATATCTAAGTGAATAGACTTACATTGACGTAAAACTTTTACTCCTACTAAAGTATTCATAATAGTTTTTTCAACTATCTGTAATGAATGTACATACTTGTCATAGGAAGTTATAAAATAGCACGACAAAGCAATAAAATAAGGTTTTCAGATTTAACTGCTTTTTGTTTAGACTTGACAATATTGCTTATCGGTTAGAAAGTAAGATAACAAAATACTAGAAAATAACTTACATGAATAATATGTAAAAACACTATTTTAATTATAGTATAAGTTGCTTTCGCCCGCGACTCCGTCCGCGTGGAATTAAAAAAAAGAGGAAAAGTAAGTTGCCTCTGTGTTCTTCCAGACTGTTCTACATCTGTACCAAATGTCATTGAGATCCGTTCAGCCGTTTAGGCTATAAACTTTAACAAACATCCATCCATCCAAACTTTCGCATTTATAATATAAGTAAGATAAAATGTAATATTGAAATCAATTAAAGTCCATATTCTTTTTCGTAGGAAGAGCTGGAAACTTTACGTGCCAAGTTGGATAAAATCGAAGGCGAGCGTACACACTACAAGGGAGAAACTGAAAAACTGGAAAATAAGGTAACACATTACTGTTTTTTATTAAACACAAATTTCACTAATTTTTATATTTGTACGATGCAGTAGTACTTAAAAATGCAATTTTAAACACCTTAGTTATTTTTATACACTATATAGTTTAGTCTATTAATGTTTCCAACCATTTACTATTAATAATTCTTACTACTAAGCAAAGTGTCGACTAAAAGCAGTAAACTTGTTATGTCTAAAAGATAAAAATATTATTTCATATTAAAACAACAAAGAATCGCTAAGAGAAACAAACGCCCTGAGAAAATCATTCGTAAACTATCAACCGTGTACCACTTTTTCATTTATTCTTTAAATAGGCCACTGTAATTGTCGGTTAGTTGGCTTAAATAGAACCTGTACACATAGTATTCCCGTAACAAAACAAATGTTTTTTCTTAAAACTAATTATAACTCAGGGTTAAACACAAGGGAATGGCCGCTATTGGCGGGCACACGTTTTTTCGATACAGAAACAAGTTTTATGTTTAATATGACGATAAAATTGAGCACCTAATGAGCAACGAAGTCCGGTTATACGAAACGTACTCGAGCAAGAAGCATCATGTCTACGTATATTTAGAAGAAATATGTTCTCGCGCTTTTTGCGCTGCTTGATATCTAACGTAATAAATCAATGTAAGACAGGGCAGGTAAGAGATCCGACGTAGCTTTAAAAAGTTAAATGCTAGTTACAAATCTATCAATATGTCAACACAAAAGATAATGTGAGAAGAAACTTGTAGAAATTTGTTTTGTGCATTTCCAGTCTCGCTCTCGGCAGTTTTTAATTTGCAATTAAAACCGTATTCATTCCTTTTGAATTAAATAAAAACATAGTTTCAATAAATTGAATACATTTTGTAACGTTGAGAATTCAGAGTAAAAACAAAATAATAAAACGCCTGTGGAAATTTTATACGCAAAGTTGGCGTGGTGTTCCTACATATTACTAGAAGGCGTCTATCGTCGATCATTAAATATAGAAAATAACGTAACCATAGCGAGTTATCTACATTTTGTGAATGTTGGAAGAAGTAAGAAGCGTCGAAAAAGAAGATGATTTATAAAAGATACGTGATAATAATAATTGCTCAGTTTCAAAATATAAAATATTTTAATATTGAAACAGATTTATTGGAAATGTTATTACTTAACTCTCAATCTATGTATAATAACGTAACCGATTCACAAGAACTCCTAATGATTAGCAAATCAATTGTTAAGATTCGAACAATAGGTCGCGATTATCTCGTGCTCGTTGGTGTAGAACGGTCCTCGTTATTGTAACCTAGGCTACCTAGGTTATCAGGAGACCTTTTTAATACCAGTTTGGATTTATCAAGTGTTTAGTGGAATTTAGTTGGTTAATATATCAGTGAATTGTTTCAATAATCTACTAATTAAAAAAGCATCTATACAAGTATAACATTACAAACTCAAGTGATAACTTTATAAATGCATGTAAGTTTTGTTTTTCATTTTTCTTGTTAAACCTAACGTCATACGTAACTAAACATAGGCTAACTAATAACTGAGCGTAAATTTCTATGATAGTTATTTTTTATCTCAATATTAAGTAACCTGAATTTTTTAATCTTATTATACAAAACGTAGCATTTTGAGTAATTGTAATCGTTTATTTTTAATAGTTTCATTTCAAATAATATTAACAGGCAACAAATTTTCAAAGAATTTCAGTCGTGAACTAATAAATTCTTACTTTATTTTCGTACGATTAAAAAAATACACCACTAAAACCGCAAGAAAACTCGGTTACCGGTTTTCTAGATAAATGTTTCAACGTGAATTGACGTATGACCTATAATAACAGACTATTTTATTTTTATATTGAACAAGCTGTTGCCCGCGACTTGGTCCGCGTGGTATTAGAAAATATACGAACTATATAAATTACAAAAAGCTACGTATCCCTCGGGAACCGGACATTTCCCTGGGATGAAGCTTATCTCGTGTACTCCAGACTTTGTTTTATATCTGTGCCAAATTTCAGTAAGATATGTTGAACCGTTGCAGAATGATCGAGTGAACATTAAAAAACTAAATTAATGAATCCCACGGGAACCGTAACTATTCCCGGGATAAAAAGTAGCCTATGTGTTCTTCCAGACTATGCTCTAAACCTGTGCCAAATTTCATGAAGATCCGTTCAGCCGTTTAGGCTACAAACGCTTACAAACATCCATCCATCCATCCATCCATCTAAACTTTCGCATTTATAATATTAGTAAGATTGAATTTATCGTACATCTAAAATATGTAAATAGGGTTAGAGCGGGCGCACACCTTTGACAAAACTATCGAACAACTGTTGTGCGATAGTCGATTGTTTCTTAGCTAATTCAACAGTTTAGTTTTATAACTAAAAGTCGAGTTGTGTGCGTACAAGCTCACAGGAATCAAAGCGAGACTAAACGGTTGTGCGATAGTTTAGTAAAAGGTGTGCGCAAGCTTTTACTCTACAGTAGGCTAAAATTAAATGGACTTTTTTTTTATAACATAAGGTAGCAAACGAGCAAGCGGCCACCTGAATCTGCCAAAATGGCGAAGCGACCGCTGCCCATAGACATCCGCAATTGCAGATGCGTTGCCAACCCTTATCCGACAGAGGAGGAGACGCACATAAAGAGGATATTTCCCCTTCCTATGCATCTCCTCAACCGTCAAATCCACTTCCCATTCCCATCCTCTCCTTATAAGAAAAGGGTGGTAAAGAGAAAGGGACTTTAATTAGGCCTCCGGCACCACACTCATCAGACTGTACACGGAATTGCTTCCATTTCACACCTGTCTTCTGTGTGGTCGTGGTATTACACCGGGCGTGCCGGCCCTGCAGTGCTAACATGTTAAAGCGGGCACTACCACTGTTACGTATTACACAAAAACTACAAGGTACAAACTATACTTAAGATTGGCGTATCTAATATACTGGAATATAATCAAACATATGTAAAATTGTAAATAATATCTCACTGCTTAGGTTAATACGGGTCGTAAGTTACTTAAAAATACTATGTATGTCATTTGTATGTACTATTAATACATAATACGGCCGACATCAATACAAATCCCTTGACCGAGAGAACATAAATACCTCGTGCACACCTTCAGTGCGTTGACCCACCAGGTGGATAACGTAAACACTCATTACATTTATGATGTTTTTATTATATTGCTTCAATAATACATCTTTAACAATAGTTTTGACTTGACTGTTTTTAGAATTCTTTAGGATAGTGTAATAATATGTGAAAGATTGTAGATACATTTTGAAAGTCTTTTTTTTTCTTAGTCTTGTTTTATGTTCAAAGGCTTTACGGAATTATAGAATCAAAAAGACCATGTTTAGTAAATAATTGGTGAATTAATATAAATTAAAGCAACTTTGGTTTCAACGGGACGACCAAAGATGATGAAATTATTTAGTTTCAAAAATTGTGTTCACATGCTTAACGGTGTGGCTTCACATTAACGCCTCTGTAAAAGAAAATTCTCGTTGAATGAAATAATGATTTTGAACGCGATTCCCCGGGCGTTAGTCATTGCTCTCAGAAAGAGAACTTTCCTACTCGACATTTGTATCGCCGCAACGTATTTATAATTCTTATTTTTATCCACCAAGGTTTTCATAAAACGAAATTTTCTTAAAGAAATATCTCTATCTTAAGGTCAAGTTTTAGTCTATTTTAAAATATTGTATCTAGTAAATATTACTCATATCTTATCTGTTAAAAAAATAAATATTTAAATAGTACGCCTACGCGTGTACAAATATGTTTACAGTTTTTTTCATATTCCAATCGTTTTTATCACTTCAGCAAACTCAAAAGATGTCATTTATTATATAAATCCTGTAACAAGTTGAAATTACTTTATTTTATATGTTAACAAAATGACCGACATTAATTTATCGAGACATTTCATACGTTATTTTTAAGACATTTGGGTCATGCGCAATTTTTTGCACAAAATTTCATAATTCGCAATCTTACGTATAAAGCCGAGTATACAATAACAAGATGCGGATTTAATTTAAATCACATTTGACTGGAACTCAATATTGGTGCAATTCAATAATATTTACTAATTTTAATTAATTATTAGGACCTCCTATTTAACGTAACATCCTAACTGCCTTAGCTTGCAAGTTGCTCACTTTACTCATCATTAAGAATCTTTTATAGTTACAATATGTCTACTTCATACACAAATAAATGCCACCTTGTGATGTAAATATAGCCCTTCCTTGTACTAAAGTTTTATAAGATAACAGTAAATATTGGTGGTTATGCAATACGTAAACAGTTCTACATAAAAATCTTTAGTTTGGTAACACTTGATGCGCGCACGTCATCCGTTCTGAGCGCGCCCTAATTTTCGCTGATTTACTTGTCCAGAAATATTCCTTGCGCTGGAAAATTGTCGTGTCTAATTCTGTTCCATATCTTTTTATTAACCGTCAAACCAACTGTTGTTTACGTATGTATTTTTTTAACTGACACTTATAATTTTAATGTATCATAGGTCAGTTTGTTCTTTTTTTATTCCGAGTTACAATTTAAAGATCAGGATTTCCTAACCTAGACCGTTTTCGTATTACTGTTTGTCTGCTTGCGTAGTATGTAAATATACAAAAACTGCTGAACGGATATCGATGAAATTTGGCGTAGATGTAAATAAAAGTCTGGGAAAACACATAGGCTACTTGTTTTTGTTTTTTTTTTTAATTCCACGGGGACGGAATCACGGTCGAAAGCTAGTAATTACATAATTATGCAGGCGTGCGCCGTGCGTTGTTTTGAAGGGATCTATTCGGCCATGTGTCGTCGTATCGACATATTGCATCAAGCGCATTGGCAGACTCCGCGACAGGCTATTTATTTCTCATCGGCACCAAACTGCCGCTGCCGCTGCCGGGTGGGAACGTCCGAATGGCACAGTTAACTAATTGTAACGTTGACGCCTCTATAACTAACGATATCACTATATAAATTAATGGAAAAATAAAACACTCTGATGAGAGTTTTGCTCTGTTTCATACCTTTATAGAGAGAATAGAAAAATAATTTTGGACTAAAACATAATTTTTGTTGACGTTTCCAATACGAAACTAAGAATACTATCGTTTAGGTTTGACTCTTGACAACAAAATAAATTTAAACTGTATTTCCTTCTTTTTTGTAATAAATTGGAAGTACAGAGTATGATAAATAACAATAAATGACATATACTCCTGTATTATTGAATAGTATAAGATAATACAGTCATATGGAGGTAGACAAGTAAGTTTAAACTGTTTGGTATGAGCTTCAGTGTACATTGTGTCACATTCTTCGCATTCATTCAGAACGATCCATTGGTATGTTGCTTGTTTGACTTTAGAAACATCCATACTTATAACGTTTAACTAATTAATAATTTATTTTATATAAACCGATTATCAGCAGGTGGCAAGTAGACTAGAAGTAGAATTGTACATTTTATGAAATTTTTCATTGCATATAATTTTGATAAATGAATATCTTAATATAATAACGTTACTTATAATGTGGAGGGGTACACCAGTAGAGGTAGACCTAGAAAGAGATGGATGGATTGCGTGAAAGGTGACACGATGAAGAAGGGACTGATGACTGAGATGACGTATAGGGTTATATGGAGGACGTAAACCCGGTGCGCCGACCCTACGGGAGTAGGATAAGGTAGGACACATGATGATGACGATAATCTTGGAAAAAGAGTTTAAAAGATGTATTTAATAATTATAAACCGAAAGTAATAAACCGTTGCTATTTTAGTAAGCATTAACCGAGGCGTCAGTGATTCTTGGCAGGACACATCTTGTTTTTGCCAAACGTAGAAAATTTTATGCATTTGTCGCATATGTGAAGAACTCATTTTTCTTTAATATCTTCACATTCTTTGCCAAAATAATTATATGGCTGACGTTAAGTGTTTGTTATAAAAATGTAGTAAGATCCATCCCTATTGTGTAAGCCGTGGTTCCGTATTCCGTATCAAATCAAAATAGAATATAATAAATAAAAATTAAAAACAATATTTTCATTGTATTATTATTACATTGCAATTCCACTTGACTTTTCAGCTCTTATCCTCATTTTACTTTTTCTATGTTCACATTTTTCAAATTTGTATTTTAACAAACATGAAGGACCAGTAAACATTATGAGGTTTTTTTTTTAATTCTAGTATACAAAGTTCACGTATACCCCGAATTTGGGTCTGAACTTTTTTTTTTCTAAAAGTCTCAAAAATTTGAAGGTCCGCCAGTCACACGGTTGCAGTTCGACATACGCAAACTAAAATAGTCGAGCGAGCAGCCAGCGACTGCGACCGAGTTAGCCGGCGCAGTGCGTCCGCGAAGCCCTCGCCGGCCGGTTCTATTTCCAACCGATGTCCCGACGCATCCCGCGCCCGCGCCGCTCGCGACCGTAATACTGCATGCGGCGAGGAAATGGCACTGGGTTTTCATCGCGGCAAAAACTTCCGCCATTATAGGAAACGCAAAGACCAAGCGTAGACCGAGATGCCGCACGCAAACGTAGACGCCCGCCCTACGACCACGAATGGAACGAACGGCACACATCACCCACTCTGTCTTCAAATACCGGACAAGTCTAACGGCACTGTCACAACTAATGGAGCTCTGTCGCCAAATTCCAATGGACCACTATCCCCACCCATTCTGGATGCGACTCCGAAAAAACCGCCGAAAGCGCCGCCCAGTCGAATTATACTTCCGATGAAAAAGTCCAAAACTTTACCGATAAACTTCGAGGAGAAGGTGCCGCCAAAGGTTTCAGCTACCATTAACAGCGGGAAAAAAGTTTTTGTTACTAAACAGTTGAAAGAAGTACAGACGATTAAACAGAACGGCCCTGAAAATGGGAAAATGCTGGTTACTAGGTCACCGAGTCCAACGTACAAAAGAAGCATGTCGTTATCAGTAGAGACGGGCTCCATAGCAGAGCTTGCAAAAAGACATGTACTAGGTACATGCGGCAGCATTTTAACCTCTCGTTCTCCGAGTCCATCATCATATAGCAGCATCAGGAGCTCGACCAGTCAATATTCAACATGCAGCAGCAATGGTACTTTCGTACCTCTATCCAGATCTTCTAGTATGAATTCTACTTTGTACGATAGAACTACACCCACACCTAGGAGAATGTATCCGCAGACCAGCGACAGCTTAAATCGCGTGGACTTGAAAGAACTAAGATCTAAAGAACAGTCTCCGGTGGTATTTGACGCGAATTTGTCATTCGTCCTCGGTTGCAATAAACAACCAATACGACAGAAGTTTAAACCGATCGCGGCGCATTTGGAGGAGGGAACATCTTCCAATTATTTAAGTTCAAAAATCGACAACTTTCTTAGAAGAACAGATCATGTTATGGACGAATGGCGTAGACTCGGACACAAAGATGAATCTGATCGCACAATCGGTAGATCGAAATCGGCTACCAATATAATGATTAAGGGTTTCACGATGTTCAGTCGCAGTGGCAGCAGAGCGAGCAGCGTCTGCAGGTCTAACAGAGGAATATCAGAAGATAGAACCACCGTCTCTGAAATGGATGAGGTCGGTGAATTGACTCTGAACCTCTGTTTCTTGGTTTAACCCATGTATTAAAATCGACCTTTTAAATCGAAATAGTAATACGTTCACTAACCGTGGCGCTTACGAGTGCGTCTTGGCTAATCACGTAACGATACTGATGCCAAAAAATAATTCTTTTATTTGTTTATTACCATCGTCTACAAACGAGTGAATTCTTGGCCGTTTGTCTCAGCAACCCGTCAACATTGTCATTCAAAATAAAAACGGAAGCATCCGTTTTACGCACGGGACTCTGGATTACATAATTTGCGCGCACGCTCTTTAAACTGAGAGGAAGCGTTGTGTACATTTGGCAGCAGTAAACTTGCAACCGATGCAAAACTTACCAGTAGAAATGTTTGTTATGGATGAACCTCCCACTCGCGACGTCACTACGTTCCAATTTTAAACCGTAACTCTTTGTTTGAAATATTACCAGCTTGTTATTAGGCCATTCGCATTCGAGATTGATAATAAATAATACGTTAATTAACTTTTTACTACGCAATTTAACTCTTGTTTTACGTAGGTAAATTATAAAAGCTATTAACGTTGTTTGTAATTGTTTGCCATTAAAAATTTTAGTTCTTATACACAGCACAAAAGAGTTTAGTTTTCTTAACAATTTTACTGTAAAAACCACATTATGTCTTGAATTTTTAACATCATAATCGATTAAAAACCGATCGAAGAACACTTTGAACATAAAAGACAATTGTATCTTTAAAATGGTTCGACACAGACGTATGGTAAATGAGAACAATCTATTTTTCTATTGGTTTTTGGTTTGGATAAAAGTTTGTTCATATGTATTTTATACTTATAATTCTTATTTAAATCAATGTTTCATACTAATCTGCCAAATTAACGTTTATCACTATCGACTCTTTGGTAAATTCATTTTCAAACAAAATAGATCATAGTCGCATGGAAAGTGTTTAATATGTTATAGTGTGTATAATTACAATATACGGTTTATGTATACTCGTATTTTAATAGAATTCACAGTCTAGGAGTTCAAATGTATTGTTTTATTTTAGTGTTCCAGAATCGTTTTTCAAAGTTTTCTTAACAAATTAAAGACGATTTCATTTTTATACGAATAAATTGTAGAAGCATCGAATATGTTAAGTGAATTTTTCAATATTATATTTCAACGTGTTTTTGTAGCTGTCAGAGGTGGGCGGTGAGTTAGCGGAGGAGCGCGCGGCGGCCGCGTTGGCCAGCGAGAGAGCTGACGCCGAAGCGGCCGAAAGGTTAAGAGTCGAGAGGGACAACAGAGATCTGGTCGCAAACAACCAACGGCTACAGCAGGTGAGCTTGTACACATAATTAACAATAATGTAGTACCACTGAAAGTAGAAATGCAAGTGGTAGTTTGGTTCTTGAATACAAAGTGAATTGTGAAATCATACGATTCTATTCTTAAAGTAAATGACTTGTGCATAGGTATACTTTGTTGTTGCAATTAAAACGGACCAGAAAGAACTTCCTGTGTTGTTAGATATTTAGTTCTGTTACCTTGAACGACTCTGTATTTATATGATTTAGTATAAATATTAAAATATTTGTTCAAAGTTGTATACTCCTATATTACGAGCATACAACTTTGAATAATAATTTTTCTTTTCTCCGGGTAAAATTTCTTTATCTTCATTTTTGTCATACATTATTACAAAATTCCAAACTTTTGCTCATACCAGGCGTCAGAGCGTCTAGAACTAGAATTACTTCACTGGCGTTCCGCGGAGAACGGAGTCGAACCATCGGATTCCGAAGGCTCCGAAGCGGAGAGTGGTATCGGCAGTGACAAGTACAAGCGACGCTACGAGCAGGCGCACAGGGAGCTGCAGTTACTACGCGCGCAGCTGCGCCGACAGCACGAGGATGACCTGGAACAGCTGGTTACGGTCAAGAAGCAGCTGGAAAAGAAGGTTTGTATATTCTGGAATACTGCTGAATTACATCTGTCATCACCATCTCCCTATTTATCCTACTCCCTGGACTGGATTTTGTCCTCCACATAACTCTATCCTACGTCCTCTCAGTCATCACTACCTTTTTCCCTCCCTTTATTCCCTGCTAAAGTACATCTGTAACTGCACTATTATGATTGGTTATTACACTATAATAGTCATATTTAATTCCAATAAAGAAAATAATGCTCGCATTACTAAAGTTGAGATATTATGTACATCGCATGGTTATGAAAATCTCAATGTACAAATAGGTTGCAATGTTTATCTGCGAACAAAAAACAGTTATCTCAATTCATCCTTGATCGACTGATGGTGATAGTGTAGCTTGATACCATCTCTGATATAAAATAGTGTTACAATATCTAGCTTGTTGTTTGAATACGCGTGTTTTTAATTATATCACTCCCTTATCACTTTATCCTACACTAGCAATTAGTAGTTAACGACATAAAACGTGTTTTTCGTTTTTTTTTTCGTCAATTAAAATATTTTCAATTTGTTAAAAAGTTACTTTAGTTGGAAGTTCGAAATTAATATTTAAGTCGTGTAAAAATGTATTTCGATACTTGATACGAAGTGAAGTAAAATGTTGTTAGTTATCTACTTAGAAAGTTTTCTGTAGAAATATTTAATTCTAAATGTATGTAAAATGGATGAAGAAAACGAACAGGTCAGTAAACTATTTATTCGTAAGGGCACCGATTTGATTCAATAGAATTTGAGAATTTATAGCTTTAATTATTTGGCGACAGCCCAATGTAGCGAAATACAACGATTAAAATGTTTTTTTTTAAACAAATGTATGTCGGTGACAGCCAAATCCATTGTTTACTTTTCGCATATTTTCTCGTAATCTTAAAATGAAAATTTATTGATCATGTCGTCTCTGATAGAATGTTTTCTTTTAAATAAATTCGATTTCGTCATGTTTTTGTTAGGGATAATATTTTATTTAAAGTAAAGAGCTACTAGGACAACAGAGATTGAAAGAGGTTGTCAGCAGAATAGTATGTACTATAAATTGTTCATTCTAGCATGACCATTCTGACTGCGTGTGTGTGACAGCTGAAACATCATAGTCATCTCTCTCATTCTATTTGGCTTATGTGAAGTGGAACAGAGACAACCGTATATTCATCAGGATAGCATTAGAATTAGATAGGATAGCGTTATTATGTAAAGTGACGTTACAGGTACAAGATGCATACGAGGAGGTGGAAGAACAGCGCGCGGTGGCTGCAGGCTGGAAGCGCAAGCTGCAAAAACTTACAAATGACATGGCCGACCTCAGGTCTTTGTTAGACGAACAGGTATATATGTTATGAAGTACTTTTAGAATATTTGAATGATTTGTTTATTCACAGTTAGAAGTAATTGAAAATAATAACGGCGATTCAAACCAGTTATTCATAAAATAATTAATATTCCATTAAGATTCTCTTCTAAATGAGTGCGAAGAAGTGTCGGTTTTATTTTTATTATTTGTATTGTTAAGAAGAATGTCGATACCATGCCGGTGTAACGGTACAACACTAGTCCGTTGGAAAGATTGACGTGCATCCCCTCCCTATGACAGCTGTCAATGTCAACATGTTTTTAAGAATAAGCGCACGATCCCGTAGACTTGGCATTAAAGTATATTGTTACAGTTATATTGCCTAAAAGTATAGATCAGATTTTAATGTTCAAAAGAGTATGAATAAATAAAGTGTTTATGTTAGACATGCCGCAACAATCTGCTGGAGAAGCGTCAGCGCAAGTTCGACGCGGAGCTGCAGGCCGCCAACGAGGAGCTGAAGCGGGAGCGCGCGACCCGCGAGCGACACGCGCGAGACCGCGACCAGGCGCTCGCTGACAAGTACGCGCTGGAGCAGAACCTCTCTGTGAGTATGCAACGTATCTACAAAAGTAAATCATAAAAAAATGTATGACGTGGTATTTAGTTTAGCATATTTGTACATAGCCCATTATATAGGGAGGCAGGTTGATTGTCAAATTGGGGGCAGGCCGATAATCAAAGGGGGGTCTATTAAATTAAATCCTTAACTTTACTCCTAAGATAATGCTTAACAACAGTGCGATTCTAGTCACCTTGGTATTTTGATTTAATTTTTACATATATTATTTCTGTGAATAATAATTAGTAAAAAGTAAGCTTAATCTTTGCAGCATTTTTGTGTGCCCATTGTGGAACACTTCGTACAATATTTTGTTGTTATCAAAAGGATTGAACTATATCGCTGGATTCTATATTGTATATTTAGGAAGCTCGTCTAGAGCTCGAGCTGAAGGAGGAGCGTCTTTGTGCGGCGACTCGCGAGCTGGAGGAGCGCGGCGGAGGAGGCGACGAGCTGGCCGCGCTGCGCCGCGCGCGCGCTGATCTCGAGCGCAGGGTGCGCGACCAGGAGGAGGAGCTCGACGACCTCGCAGGGCAGATACAGGTACCGATACCAATACAGATACTATGCTTGAACAAACAGATACAGATACGTAGAGATACTTTTTTGACTTAAGTGACAAGAATCTGTTCTCATTTACCATAAATCAACTAATGTTAGATCAGTTTCAGATGCTTTGCCTAAATCAATTTTGGACAATTAAAATCACCCACCAAATAACATTTATAGCATATTGGGTACTGAAAAATATGTTAATGGATACAAATACTTGATCCGTCAAACACATGTTATAAAAAATACAAGTGCACAAATATTTAAAAACATTTTTTCTTTGTAGCTTCTTGAAAGTTCTAAGCTGAGGGTAGAAATGTTGCTCGAGCAGCAGCGCAAGGAGGCGCGGCTGGAGGCGGCCGCGCGCGACGATGAGATGGAGGAGACTCGAGCTAACGCCGCCAAGAAACTAAAAAGTAAGTCGTTAAAATAATTTATCTACTTCAAAGTTTTGTTTACAGAAAGAAATTCACACTAATGATCTCGCTTAGAGGTCAATTTACAACTAATAGACATTTAAAGTAGGCGGCGACAATTTATCACGTCACGTTTGTCAAGCTTAAGTCATTTTCAATTTTTTAACAATAAACGTCGTGCGTTATTTGTGTTTATATATTGTAACTCTATCATATTTCATTTTGATAAGATTCCTATCCATTACCACCCATGGCCCCATCGACCCCCGGGTCAATACGGGCCGAATCGAGGAAAGGCGTTTACGGTCTGGCTGTTTGCATCTTTTTGACACCCTATAAGTTATATTATTCATACATTTGTGACAAGTCTCCCACAAAGAGATACAATAAACATGTTTTCCGACCATGTTATATTTGTATGTATTGTAGTGCTGGAGAGTCAGCTGGAGAGCGAGCACTCTGAGCGCAGCCTGCTGCTGCGCGAGCGACACGAGCTGGAGCGCCGCCTCGCCGCGCTGGAGGAGACAGCGCGCGCGGAGACGCACGAACAGGGACAGCTCGTGCAGCGCCTCAAGAGGTATCATTCACTCACTCACTCAATCACTCATTCCACATTCCATTCCATTCAGTTCATTCAAGTCTACATTTTTACTTCGATGTAGTACAATATCATGGACATCGCTAAAAAATTCGTGTTGTATGTTTTATGATGATTTATTTGCAGAGACTTGAAGAGATACCGAGCACTACTACGCGATGCTCAAACGATGCTCGAACAAAAAGAAAAAGAAGGTGGCGCTAAGGCACAGATACGACAACTGAAAAACCAAGTATGAAACCATACGTCCATAAATTAATATTTCTATATATACTAGTTGAAACAATATTATTGTACACTGAGATGCACTGTGGTAATACTGAGGTTTTTTTTTAATGGCCTCATGCCTTCCTCTCATACCCCTGACGTGTAGGGACTAGGGACTTTGGGTACCACTTTTAATTTCTTAAATGAGATTGACTTCTTTAACTAAGACGGTATTGCATGTTTGTAGGTGGAGGATTTGGAGCTAGCTCTCCGCGCGGCGAACAAGGCGCGCTCGACGGCGGAGGCGGAGGCGGCGGAGGCGAGCGCGGCGCTGGAGGAGGCGACGCGCGCGCGCGCCGAGGCCACGGAGCGCGCGCTGGCCGCCTCGCGCGACGCCGCCACCGCGCGCGCCGCGCTCGACGACGCAGAGGAGGAAGCAGCTGAGGTTATTACCACTACAATACTATCGCCTGCCTCTTTCCCCTTTTTTAATTGAAGATAATTAAAAATCTGAACAACTTATTTATTTCTTTTTAGAGAAATATTACAATAGCCAGTAAGAGATTGCTAATAGCAATTTGGCCGCCCTTGTGCAAATCTTGTAGTAGCTTAGTTTTAGTATTCTTAGTGTCAGTTCTACTAATTTTTTTAATTGTCTGATAACAATCCAACGTGTAAAATGTGATGGAAATATTGGATTTGTTACCTTATTTGACCGTGACATCAATTTTCTGAGCCTCTATCAGCCAGTGGTGGGACAGGCCCTAAGTCTTTCGTATGATAAGATTGTTTATTATTATGATGGTGACGTATCCGTCAATGGCGAACCGTGCTATTTCCGTGAGTGTGACCGAAAATGAGTTGCAAATCCGATTTTTTATAATAATGTTTTAACTGTTGCAGTTAATGAAGAAGTACCGCAGCAGCACGAGCGCGCTGTGCGGCGCGCAGGCGGAGGCGCGCGAGGCGGCGGCGCGCGCGGAGGCGGCGGCGGAGGAGGTGGCGGAGGTGACGCAGCGGCTGGCGCACGCGGAGGCGGGACACACGCACGGACACAGCGAGGCCGAGCGACGACTCGACATGAGGAACAAGGTCACCTTCACTACTCTATACCTTTGCACCATACAATGCTACTCATTTAGTTATTTGTAGGAAGAGGCCGAGTTTGTCTCTTTGCCATGAACAAGGCATTTTTTTGAAGTGGTGTATATCATAAAAGATTTAGAAATGAAATTACTTTTAATGGAGACATGTGTATTGGTAACATATGAAAAGACAAAGACATAGAAAATACGATGACATTGACAATGTGTTCTAGTTTTCAAATAATTTAAATTCTTCCTTTTTTTCTAATCGCTTCTGTACTTAAGAATTAGTCTTTATTTATACGTCTTTTGAATTTCTAATATGATAGTTTTATGTGCAGGAGTTGGAATCCAACTTGGAGCTGGAGGCGACGTCGCGCGCGCGGCTGGAGGGCCAGCTGACGCGGCTGCGGGACGCGCACGACGCGCTGGCCGGCGAGCTGGGCGCGGCGCGCGCACGCGACCTGCACGCTGCCGACGAGCTGCGCAAGCTGCAGCGATCCATCAGGTATCACTATACTCTACCTGTTAACATTTCTGTGAACGTAGGTCAGAATCCTGATATGACTAAATAAGTGGGAATTTTTTGGCGCTTATACCCATATAAATAAGTCATACTAAGCAAAAATGTACTTTTCATTGATCTATTACCACCGATTTATTCAATTAACTGTTTATATAAATTTCACAATACTATTATACCAATATAATAAAGCGTAAACACACACTAGTTATGAGAACAGGACAAAAACTAAAAGCCAGTAGCAAAAAAGCAAGGTTGCCATGGTCACTTATAAGCAATAAAATACAGTTTTTATAATGTGATGTAATTAACCTGAGTTATTTTCGTTGTGGTAGTTTTATTTATTATTCTATATGAACAGAGAACTGAAGGAAGAGAACGTATCGTTGAACTCCCGGCTGAGCGAGGCGACGCGCGCGCGCGCTGCGGCGGAGGCGGCGGCGGGCGCGGCGGCGGGCGAGGCGGCGGCGGCGCGCGAGGAGGCGCGGCTGGCGGCGCGCCGCGCGCACGCGCTGCAGGAGGCCATCGCCGGAGACCTCTCCAGCAACAACGACCGCGACTCCGACACGTAAACATTACTATACTAACACTCTATACTACAACCACACGACCAAGTTAAATGAAAATTTATTGTTGCAACCACAGATTAAAAAAGAGCCTTAGCTTAAACTTGAAATTTTTTTCACATGGTCATCACTAACGCCATCTATTAATATATCCTCGAAACCTCCTGTCGATGTAATTAATTCTCTTGAAATTAAATGTTTGTGTTTTATATCGTGACGCTGTTTAGTTTATTTTATAACAAAAGATGAAGTTTATTTTAATTTTGTAAAAATCACAAGGACACGAGGTGGCGTACTAAACTTGACAATTAACGTAGTACCTTTCAAAGAAAGTACCGGTTAAAAAAATTGTTTACTGTGTCTAGTCTATATATTTTTTTTGTCTGGTTACTGTAGTCATAATAAATTGATGAAACATGCCGAAATTTAGTTGCAAAGCTAATACTCTCTTCGTTGATAGCTTATTTAGGTCATAATTATTTTTTCCGTCAATTTAAATTAAATTGTTATAACAATTGTTGCAGAGAGAACGACAGCTACAGTTCGGACGAGTCGATAGGCACGTTCCTCGCTAACCACAAGCTCAGCCCCTCCGCGCCTTCAAGGAACAGCCTTCATCTCGACTCACAAAAGTAACCACATAATATTCTTATACTCTACATGAGTGTAAAATAAAATCCCGTAGAAACTTTTACAGTAAAAAGTATTTATTATTTGCCGTAAATACTGGCCGTATAGTTTAAGTATTGGCAACAAACAGCAACTGCAATTAGTATAGTTGTAATGCAATACTTATCTATTGTCCAGGTCACAGACCCCAGAGGGTCGCCGGAGCCGCAGCAGCGCGGGCTCGCAGGGCTCGAAGCCGCAGAGCCCCGCCAAGGAGTCGTACGCATAACCCGCGCCCGCCGCCGCCGGCCTGCTCACGAGCGCGCTGCCCCTGCTGTGCGCCGTGTTCTGCTCGCGGCAGCGCGACCCCCTCGCGCTACACTAGACACTCGCTGACACAACACACAACATTCGTCTCTTGATACATTAAAACAAGAAGAACATCCTGACGACATCATACGTTAAAAATTTGTCAGTCTCAAACAGCCGTCAAAATCGACAAAGATTAAAAATTATTAATTTGTCAAAGACGAAAAATGTTGTAAACAGCTGACTTCAACGTCAAGTGTCAATGTGACAGATGTCACTCGCTAGTGTTTGGACAATAGTGATGTATTTCGGATCTTATACGATCTGCCATGGTAAACTAAGTTTTATAAATTTCTATGAGTAGGTACGTTTTCCATTTTGAATCGTTAGTGTGGTTATAATACGATTAATTCACTATTTGTAAAGAAAGGAGAGAAAGCAGATACTTATACAAATGGTGTAGTAATAATTATTGGTCTATTTGGCGTATAAAGCTGCTTTATTTATTGGCAAATATAAGATTAAATTTCAGGAATTTTTAATCTGCTCAAATGTTAGATGTAGCATTTGGATATGCTTTACAGTAAAAAAATTGACTGACGATTAGATTGTTAAAATGAAACAATGTACTGAAAATGATTTTAACAATATTTTGTTTATGACAGATGGCGCTAGTTTTTAGCCAAGTTGAATCAAACGATATAAGGATATTGTGTGTAAAGTATGTATGCATTCCAAAAGAATATCTCTTATGCTTCTTGGCTATGTTTTAAATATACTTGAATTGGATATAACCAGCGCCACTGAGTCAAACGCAAGGCCTCGACTTATTTATTTAGCTTAGATATGTTTCATGTAGAGAATCATTATTAATGTGTTTATGTATTCGTTGTTGCGCTGCAAACAGTCAGTATTTAGACGATATAGAAGTGGGAAATCGATGTAATGTTAGGTTGATTGTTATTTAGTTAGCTAACTATTGTAAATAACTAGACCACAACTTTTTATTATTTAATTTGTAATTATTCGTGTGATCAGACTGTTATTCTATGATTTATTTGTTACACGAAAATTGTTGCTTTTTTTTTAGAAAATCAATACATATCTAACAGATATTTATAGTTACTGAACTTCCTCTTCCATATGCTTCTTTTGTTTTCATGGATTTTAGCTAGTATATGTAGTCTAAATTATATACCCCATGTAATTGTAACTCCATTTATCTAAAAACCTCATATGTGTATGTAAGTGTCTGTAATCGCAATTATAATATATATGTTGATAATTTATATGTAATGTAACGATAATGTGATGAAATGTTACTTCATTCAATATTGGTTGTAAAATGAAATTATTTAATAAAGTAACAAATATACAAATAATGTTCTTTTCATTTCATTTATATGTCTTAATAAATATGATCTGTGTACCAAATTAAGGTTTCTATATTCTCAAGATAGCACTGTTTATAGAGAGCATTGCCAAGAGTTTGCAAAAGTTCTATAATTATAGTCTTCTTCCCGACAAACGAAGTCGAGAGCATTTCCTAGTTACATTATAAGGTAATTCCTGAACAGTTGCGTCTTTTTATTTAAAAGGGAAGAATTTCCCTGAAATATAAAAATATCACCTTGCTAAATGCTTGCCCTAACCCCTTGTCAATGTCAAAAATATACCACATGATCTTGTGGCACTATAATATAATTGCATTTGCATTGCACTTTTGTTATCGTTAGAAATAATTCGCAATGATCGAAATTATTCTTCGACTATCAATTGCCAGATTACCACTTAAGTACATATAATATACACTAAAGTTGGCACGAAAATCTGTTTATTTCTTTATAGAAATATATAAAATTCTTTTAAACATTTTATAATGATAAATCAGTATTTTGAATTGTATTTGCCCAACACTATTGGCCATGAAGCAATGAGTGAATGACTGAACTGATCTAAATTAACAGGCAAGAAACTTAAAGAACTAGTCTTGGGTAGTACACGTACGATGTACTAAAAAGTAATGTTACTCGGCACTGTACTAAAAGTAACGTTGCCGAACGGCTTCTGTTAATCGGACATTTAGTACTTTTAGTACACTACACGATATCGGTGTTCGCCTTTTGTCAGATTGAAGCATCCACCTTCGATAATGAGAATCAAAAGTGGATAAAATTATTCATAACTAAATTTATTTTCGCTAATAACATATGTTTGACCCTGCTTAAAATTTGATGTGAAGTAATATATAACACTCGTTATATTCTATTCATGTATTGTGTTTTCACAAATCTGAAGTACTAAAGGTACTAAAAATGTGTACTAGTACGTTTTCCCAATTGTACTAGTACGGTGCGCACTTGCAGATGTCCGATTAAGCCCAAGACTATAAAGAACTGAGCCTGGTGTGTTGCATCTGTTATAATTTGTATTACGGCTTTTTTACACGATATACAAGGCCAGGTAAAAATTTTCATTGGCAACACTCAATTCAGGAGCTGCAGCTCAATAGTTTCAAGCTTTGTGATCTGATCTGTTAGGCCGGTTTAGAGTTGATTTACCCACGTCTACACATCAATTACGCCCCTTCAAATCTGTCAAAAGTGTATTTAGTGATTTAAAAAGATTTTTACTTTAAAAGAATCTTTTTCTTTAGTGGTATTGTTCGTCATAAATATAATTTTTTTATCGTTATATTAATGTTTACCAATATAGTTGTAAAAAACTACCAATTGTTGTTCGTTAAAATTATTGATTTTTTTGACACTTTATTTTACATGAGATAAAATTATTTACCAGGTAAAATTATAAATTTCAACATCGCTGTTAATTCTCCAAAATGACTGATTCAAAGTATTTTACAACAACCAAGAAGGGTGAGATTTTCGAATTGAAATCTGAATTAAACAGCGATAAGAAAGAAAAAAAGAAGGAAGCAGTAAAGAAGGTAAGCTGACTTCTCTATGTAAAAGATCTATGCTGGGTGCAAGATTTTCCGCACATTAGGGTTTACATATGACTTCAAATAACATGACTTTCAATATAAAACAAATTAGACAGTCTTATGGCTGCCAAATAGTTAGGGTGAATCACTAATAATGGCACTTATGTATTTTACTAACCCTTAAAGTAGAAAGCGATAAATTTTATACCAAAAATTGTTACATCACAGTGTCAGAGTCCCTTTATAATCCAATGGCAGACTACTTACCTTGGAAGATAGTTAAAATATTGTTTTAACAATCTTCTATTTCATATCTATAGTTATAAAACTATATTAATTAAGTTACCAATCTGCTAAAACATTTTTTTTTAATTAGTAATACTAGAGTTATGGTAAGAATTATATGAAATGTTTCATTTTTGTAAAATACCATAGTATACAAAAAAAACACGAAATTGACATTTTTCACTATTATGCAGGTCATAGCTTCTATGACAGTTGGTAAAGATGTGTCAGCTCTTTTCCCCGATGTTGTCAATTGCATGCAAACTGACAATCTGGAGCTGAAGAAACTGGTCTACCTCTACCTAATGAACTACGCTAAATCTCAGCCGGACATGGCTATAATGGCCGTAAATACATTTGTTAAGGTATGTTTTCGATTTTATATGTGATTTTTATATATATATTTAGTTACATTGATAGTTTTAAATTCAGTTCAAAAAGATTTTACGATTGGGCTTTTATTTTTTTATTTGCATATTTGCAATTATAACAATTTCGGTTTTTAATGTTAACTTTCAATCAATTTAATATCAGAGTGATATTTAACTATAAAGAAAGTGTTTCAATTATTCAAGATTATATTTGATTAAGATATTGAATTTTGAGCATGGAACTTTCAAAAGTATCGTATATTTAAATATAAATATCTTTCTATGTAAGTGTAGTGTAGATATCTGTGTGTGTGTGACTTGTCTTTTTTATCGTTTTAATGTCTACTGTACCATATTATGATGGGTGGAAGGATCTACCAACATACCAGCTTGTTAAGGTAATTAAAATGATCCAAAAAGAAAATCAATCATCCGTCTGTAGATTTACACATTTAAGTTGAATTTATTGTAATAAATATTAATTTTCAGCACATTTTAGTATAAGATAAATGTAGTAATTCTGGCTAAATTTGCATGGTATATGGCAAATCCACCACTAGCACACAGATGTGTAAATCTACATTTAATTTAAAAAATATATATTAAAAAGATAAGCTGAAACATAGAATTGATACAAATATGAATTCCATGCCTCATTATATTTGACATTAGTAGCACATAAGCTATTTATAATAGTACCATTTGGTAGAAATTCGCTATTCCTAGATATAGACTATATATGGGTCTTTTAAAAGGATTAGCACAGCTTGTACTATTTTGTGGCTTCTTTTTATTTTTTTTTTATCACAAACATTGTCATGCACACTTGTGATGTTACACCTTAATTATTTAATGCTAAAAATATTAAAATATAATAAGCTTTTTATACCAACATCAATAAAATGTTGATTTTTTCAATAGTTTTTATATCATTGGATTTTGAAAAGTCAAAGTGTAACGCTTTTTTAACAAAAAAACAGTGAAATCCATTATATTTTGCTAAAAATCTTAGTTCTTTAAGCTTTAAACATGAGGTTTCATGAGAATAGCGAATTTGTACTGCAAATTGCTTCTAGAATGGCTTCCGTATTCAATGTGTAACTTTTGTTCTACACTGTTATACTATTGAAATGCTAAACCACCTACAGGATTGCGAAGACTCGAACCCTCTGATCCGAGCGTTGGCTGTGCGGACTATGGGTTGCATCCGAGTGGACAAAATCACGGAGTATTTGTGTGAGCCACTGCGTAAGTGTCTCAAAGATGAAGACCCATATGTGAGGAAGACGGCTGCAGTTTGCGTCGCTAAACTTTATGATATATCCTCTAGCATGGTTGAAGATCAGGTCAGTGATATTAAAGGCAATTAAATGTGTATAATTTGTTGCATAATAAGGTTTTACCATTGTTTTTTATGTAAAATTCTATGTTTATATTTAATGTACATAATGTGACTTGAGATTTATTTAACAGTATTTTTGCAGGGATTTTTAGATCAACTGAAGGATCTATTGAGTGATTCTAACCCGATGGTAGTGGCCAATGCTGTGGCTGCTCTTTCCGAGATCAATGAAGCCAGTGTGTCAGGGCACCCACTTGTTGGTATGTGCACATTTTCTTTATGAATAATACATTTCACATTGTTGGTATCTCATCAGACATGTAATATTTAACTAGCTGTTGCCTGCGACTTCGGCTGGAATTTGATAATTAAAAACTAAGGTTTATCTCCTTATTATCTTTGAAAAGTGCTCACTTATAACGAATAAAAACTATGAGTTTTTACGAAATTTTGTTCATGAAAAATATTTCTAGATTTGAACTGACCCATTCACACATAGATTTGTTGTTTTTTTATATCATCTATCGATTTTTCTTTCATATGTTTAAAAGAGAAAAATGATTCAATGATCTACGCACAGCCAAAACTGCTAAGTGTGGACCTGAAATTTTCAAAAAATTGTTCCTCAGTAAAAAGCTACATTATCACTGAGTTACATAATCTATAGCTAGTGTCAAATATATTTTTTTGTGATATGGTGTACTGGTTGCGGCAGAGATGAACGCGCCGACGATCAACAAGCTGCTGACGGCGCTGAACGAGTGCACGGAGTGGGGGCAGGTGTTCATCCTGGACGCGCTGTCCAACTACGCGCCGAAGGACGCGCGCGAGGCGCACTCCATCTGCGAGCGCATCACGCCGCGCCTCGCGCACGCCAACGCCGCAGTCGTGCTCTCCGCTGTCAAGGTACCCACTGCATCACAAACTACCCTCAATCTGACACCTGTATATTTTTTTACAAATAATGTTATGACCTATGACATCCTGTATACACAGGTGAGCATAGTTAATAAAAAAAATAAATCACTAATATTTTAAATGCGAAAGTTTAGGTGGATGGATGGATGTTTGTTAGAGTTTGTAATCTAAACGGCTGAATGGATTTCGATGAAACTTGGTACAGATGTAGAGGATAGTCTGAAAGAACACATAGACTATTCACTTTTGTTTTATTTTTAATTCCACGCGGACGGAGTCACGGACGAAAGCTAGTAAAAAAATTTCTTAAATCGTTATCTCCAAATTTAACTACGATAATCTAAAGTGTTATATTTAAAAAAAATTTAACGCAAGTTAGTTAACAGCCCCACCGCGACCTCGTCCATGCCCTTTTCTGACATAACTAGCATCCACATACTAATGTGTATGTGTCCGTGTCCGTGTGCAGGTGCTGATGAAGCTGATGGAGATGGTGAGCGAGGACGCGGAGCTGGTGGGCACGCTGTCGCGCAAGCTGGCGCCGCCGCTGGTGACGCTGCTGAGCGCGGAGCCCGAGGTGCAGTATGTGGCGCTGCGCAACATCAACCTCGTCGTGCAGAAGCGCCCAGACATACTCAAACACGAAATGAAGGTACACACACCTTTATAACGGTATTTACAATTTATTTTAACCGTATTCGACTCTCTAATACTTTGGATAGGTTAGCCCAATTTATGTACTTTGATATATATCAGTTTTAACTTCATAGAAAGGTCACAACAATTAAAATAAATTAATCGATACTGACTTCAAACATATGCGATTTGAATTCAGTTTTTATGAAAAATGGAAATTTCTCGTTGCATTTATTTATAATATCCATAGTATTAAAAAAAAAAGTGTTCGCTGACACAACATTGTAACGACAATGACATTATTATAATAGGAGCCTCTGTCACCAAATTGTAAATTGTCTGATAACAATCCAACGTGTAAATATGTGATGGAAGTGTCGGATTTTGTTACCTTATCTGACAGTGACGTCATTTTAAACTATCTGAACCTTTATCAGCCAGTAGGGACAGGCCCTTAATATGTTAAAATTAAAATATTTTACACCCGCCGTTACAACGTTACTTCGTTAAATTTCGGTGAATATTAAATAAAAATAAATAAATAAAAAAAGCCTTTTATTCTATGCCATAGTTTACATAAAAATTTAATGGTACATGTCTAATTATTGTCATTTATAGATTATTACATACAGATATATTAGATTAGAAAAATTAATTCGGTCATATAATGTTAAACCTATTTCAATAAATAATCAAAAATGTCCTAAATACTATTTTTTTTTTCTATCGGTGAATATTAAATGTGACTTATTAGAACGGCCCAGTAATAAGTGTAATGTTTTGTATGGAGGTGTTCTTCGTGAAGTACAACGACCCTATCTACGTGAAGCTGGAGAAGCTGGACATCATGATCCGGCTGGCCTCGCAGGCCAACATCGCGCAGGTGCTGGGCGAGCTGAAGGAGTACGCCACCGAGGTGGATGTAGACTTCGTGAGGAAAGCCGTGCGTGCTATCGGCAGGTGTGCTATCAAGGTACGGGACATCACGAAACTAGGAAATATTAAAAGAAAAAAACAAATATCAAGAAAAAAACAATTTAAAGTGGGTTAAAAAAAAACTGGAAACCCTGACTGACAATATCTCAGTCACAGGGTTATATGTCTAGACCTGCCCCTCTAGAGAAAGTGAACTTCTGTTAGCAATATTAGTAGAATCAACAAAGTATGTCAAAATATATAGGAATAAATACGTAATATATCGTAAAATATTCCATACATTTTTGACTTTTCATTCTACAATAACACTAATAATGCCACTTTGACAAGGGTCAGGTCGTTAATTGATAATTTATATATTACTAGCTGTCGCCCACGACTCCGTTCGCGTGGAATTTAAAAAATAAAAACAAAAGTCAGTAGCCTATGTGTTCTTCCAGACTATCCTCTATATCTGTACCAAATTTCATTGAAATCCTTTTAGCAGTTTACGCTACAAACTCTTATAAACATCCATCCATCCATCCAAACTTTCTCATTTATAATATTAGTATGATTCTATACAACTGTTTAAATTACAGTCATAATCAAGTTCTCTTTAGTGTAAAATTAGTAGTAAAAATTTGAAAGGTCCGTTAGTGTCTATGAGTGTGGTAGAAACCAATAGACATGATTGCTGCAGGTGGAGCCGTCAGCGGAGCGCTGCGTCTCGACATTGCTGGAGCTGATCCAAACGAAGGTGAACTACGTGGTACAGGAAGCCATCGTCGTCATCAAAGACATCTTCCGCAAGTACCCCAACAAGTACGAGAGCATCATCAGCACCCTCTGCGAGAATCTAGACACCCTGGATGAACCTGAAGCCAGGGCATCTATGGTAAGTTGCAATTTCATATTTAACTAACTACATATGCAGCTGAAGTAAAAATCTACAGTCAAAATTATTTAACAGTAGAAAAATTATTTTATTAAAAAAAAAAACTTTTTATAAAATGTTAACATCCTTTAATATAGAAAACATAGTATGTAAATGATAAATTGTACAAAAAAAAACACGAACATTAATGAGTGTACTAACACTGTGATACAGCCGAATACTAGAAATCTTTAACGTTTTGCATTGTAAGCAACGCTTACAATCTGACAGCCGTCAAAATTTTAATGGATCTTTCTTTTTCTGTATTCATCAATTATAATGTATTATTATTATCTATACTAGTATTATTAATAGTAAAGATTTGTATTTTTGACTTTTTGTATGTATTTGCACGCAATAACAACTGGGCCGATTTGAATTAAAATATAATGCAGGTGTGGATAGTGGGCGAGTACGCGGAGCGCATCGACAACGCGGACGAGCTGCTCGACTCCTTCCTCGAGGGATTCCACGATGAAAACGCACAGGTGACTAAATATATCACTTCATCAAATGGTGGACAGAAAAAACAATCTTGTTTAGTATATTACATTTTTAATTTATACTAATATTATAAAGAGCTTTGTATTTTTCTATGTATGGAAATGACTCTAAAACTGCCGGACCGATGTTAGAAATTAAATAATTTATTATTATTTTTTACTTCACGCGGACGGAGTGGCAGGCGAAAGCTAGTTTATAATATTAATAGGAAGTTAGGTGTATTATTTCACTTTGTTTTACATAGAATGTCATGTACGGTAGACCTAGGTCTTTCTAAAAGAAAGGGATGGATGGAATGCATGAAAGGTGACATGATCAAAAAGGGAGTGATGACTGAGATGACGGATGATAGATTTAAGTGAGGGAAAAAACCTGTAACGCTACTACGGGAGTAGTATAAGGAAGAAGGTGATGAGACTGTAATGTTGGTGTTGTGTGTCGTGATCAGGTGCAGCTGCAGCTGCTGACTGCGGTGGTGAAGCTGTTCCTGAAGCGGCCGGCCGACACGCAGGAGCTGGTGCAGCACGTGCTCAGCCTCGCCACGCAGGACTCCGACAACCCCGACCTCAGGTATGTACTCTGCGCACTCTATATTCGCTCATTCGGCGAAATTATACTGTGTTTAATCTAATCTTGTACTTCACCGGCTATTATTCGACTTATCAAGTCATAGTTAATGCGGATTTTTTATCTATACTAATATTATAACCAGGAAAGATTTGTATTTTTGTATGTATAGAAATAACTTAAACACTATTGGGTCGATTTCAAAAATTAAATAAGATGATACGTGTTCAGGGACCGCGGCTTCATCTACTGGCGGCTGCTGTCGACGGACCCCGCGGCCGCCAAGGAGGTGGTGCTGGCCGACAAGCCGCTCATCTCCGAGGAGACGGACCTGCTGGAGCCCACGCTGCTGGACGAGCTCATCTGCCACATCGCCTCGCTCGCCTCCGTCTACCACAAGCCGCCCACCGCCTTCGTTGAAGGTAACTTCGCACTACTGGAAAAAGGGTCTAAATCAGTGTCTATCGAAGTCAATTTCATGATCTGTTTCTTCTTAATTTATATTTACCTTTAGGAACGGATTTTTTATCTAAAATTGGAAAATATCTTAACTTAGACACGTTATTTTTTAAAACGGATTTTTATAATAATCCACTTGTGATATATACATTTATTTATATGTTATTATTAAATGTGATAATTATGCCAGGTCGCGGCGCAGGCGTGCGCAAGTCTCTGCCGTCGCGCGGCGCCGCGCCCGAGGAGGCTCTGCCGCAGCAGCCCACTGTCATACCTAACCAGGTCACATGCTCATAATGCTCATAATTGTTATATCTATACTGTTAGGAATAAAATTAGTACCGTGCTATAGAATTGGCGCAACTCTAGATTATCGGCATAAACGGCACGTCCCTAGCTGACAGCTGTCAATGTCACTAGAAGGATGGATAGGTTGGCGCGCATCCTAAGCCAGGCGAGAAGTATTGCTCTGAGTTTAAAGCGACAGTATCAATTAAATAAGTTGTCTAAAAATGCTAATAATATAAAGAGGAAACATTTATATTTTTGTATGTATTGAAATAACTCAAAAACAACTCGGCCGATTTCAAAAATTCTTACACCATTAAAAAGCTCCGTTATCAGTGAGTAACATCGTTATATTTTTTATTTTCACGCAAAATCGCAAGCAACATCTAGTACACGATTATTTAATTAATTTTGTAGAAGTAAGTTTTATAGTATTTATAATGTGTACAGGAATCTTTGATCGGCGACTTGCTGTCGATGGACATCTCAGGTCCGCCGGCCGCCGCGCCCGCCTCCAACATCGACCTGCTCGCAGGCAACCTTGATGTGCTGGTGAGTGACATGACATACCTTTGACACTCTCGATACTACACACTCGCTCTGCCAGTAAGACGAGAAATCCTAGTGGCGTTGAAACTGTTAAACATACTTTTATCGTTAAAAGGTGGCATCTGTGTGTTGTTCCACGCGACTTTCATCTTTAAAAGCGTTTAATAAAGAGATTAAAAAATTAAAATAAAAACGCAATGTCACTAGCACTATCTAGTGTCCGATATCACAAGCAAACAAATAATTTAAACACTGAAGAAGCGTCTCGGCATGTCTAGATTGACATTTAGATATTACCGTACGAAGAAGTTACCAGTTAAAAATGGTGTTCCTTATATCTCGTCCATATATTTCTTAAATGTCTGATTATATCAATGTTAACTATTGTATAATATGACATTTTTCTTTTTTTTTTTCTTAATATTAATATTCTTTAGCTGGGTGGCGGACCGGAGCCAGCGGCGGCTGCGACGACGACAGGCCTGCTGGGAGACATCTTCGGCGCCGCGGCCGCGCCCGCGTCATATGTGCCGCCCAAACAGTGCTGGCTGCCTGCTGACAAGGGGAAAGGTAACTTACGTACTCGCTAATAATATAAAAAAGGAGTGTTTTGATACTAAAAAGTTGACATGTAATACCAAATGAATGATTTTCCTTAGGTTTGGAGATTTGGGGCACGTTTAGCCGGCAGAACGGGCAGCCGCGCATGGAGATGACCTTTACCAACAAGGCTATGCAGGCCATGACTGGCTTCGCTATACAGCTCAACAAGAACAGGTAACCCATTAATTTATAACGTTTTTGGAAACAAAGTTAATTTCAAGATATTTCAAATGTTAATAAATTTGTGTTATGTTGTGTAGTTTCGGCGTGTACCCCGGCGGCGCGCTGTCGGTGGGCGTGGTGTCGGCGGGCGGACGCAGCGAGGCCGCGCTGCCGCTCGCCGCCGCCGGGCCCGTGCAGCGCATGGACCCACTCAACAACCTTCAAGTACGACATACCACACCTAGCTTTTAATATTGCATTTTTTTGTAATATAGATAAGAAACATTTAACCTGAGTGTATTTTTTGTATCCTACGTAGGTGGCGATCAAGAACAACGTGGACGTGTTCTACTTCGCGTGCCTAATACCCGCGCACGTGCTGTTCACGGAAGACGGCCAGCTCGACAAGCGCGTCTTCCTCACCACGTGGAAGGAGATCCCCGCCGCCAACGAGGTGCAGCACACGCTCTCCAACGTGGTCGGCAACGCGGACACCATCGCCCACAAGATGACCCTCAACAACGTGTTCACCATCGCCAAGAGGAACGTCGAGGGCCAGGATATGCTGTACCAGTCCCTCAAACTGATCAACAACATCTGGGTGCTGCTGGAACTGAAGCTGCAGCCTGGCAACCCCGAGGCCACGCTCAGCCTCAAGTCGCGCACTGTTGAGGTCGCCACATGCATATTCCAAGCTTATGAAGCTATTATCAAATCGTAATCTCTTAGACAACTCTATGTTCATTATTTATATATATTGTTCTAAGTTTATCGAGTTATATAAAATGTATTATGTAAGTTAATAAAGACTATGACTGTAAATTCCATTAGCGTATGAATGTTTATTAGAAGTATGTTTGTATTTCGTAGTCCGCGGCATTATTCCTTTTTCGAGGACTATTTCGCTCACGCTGTTTATGAAGTAAAAATAAATGTTATTCCAGTATGTTCGTGTTTCATTTTTATTGCACCTTTTATTATAACAACAACTCACTATAGTTTGTCTAAAATAAAAAGATATATTAGTTTGACAATTCATTTTAGTAGGGATGAGTTGTGTAAAATCAGTCATGTCATCACCTTATCGATTTTCGATTCTTATTCTTATAGAAGTTGGAATCGAGAGATTCATAGTTATAACTGGTTATAATTCATGAATTAAAAAACAACGTTTTCTAAAATTAATAATGACCTTACAATTATAAAGAGTAAATGTTTATTACTACTACAGCTTATACAATTATGCATTGCCAGATATGTAATAAACAATTTGTATTTCATAAATGTATATTTTTGAACAGATATTATTCCATATTTACAAAGTCATGGTTTGGACCACATTTAACTTTCCACATTCATTAAAATTTTTTCCAAAATTATGCTTACATTTCAATAATTCATACAGTCAGTACATTTTCTAACTGCTTAAAGCTTGAGAAAATTAAATAAAAACTGTAGTTTTGGTAAAATACAAAGTCATCGCCTATTTTGAGGTCAAACAACCCGCAGTGGTCCAGCGTGGTTGATTATAAATACATGTCATCCCTAAGGGTAGGCTCCGAGTCTCTCAGTGGGGACGTATATGATGATCAATTATATTCAGTAAAAGATTAACTCGTGACATTTGAGTTAATCATTAGCGATTAGGAAAAAAAAATTAATAACAAATGAGAAAAAATTCACCAAAATATTAACATTCAATAAAAATTATACTGTTGCTATTTAGAAATAAATAAAATATTTTTTGAAATAACAATATTGCATGACTTAATACACAAACAGAATTTTTTACAACAACTTTATTCATATTAATTTTAATTAGATCATATAATGTACTGTTGTACACATCTTAAACCATAAATATTTCAGTTACACATTTTTTAAATGTGTCATGTCATACATTTACACATAAATTATTATAAAATCGTAGTTGAATCATTTCTATGGCTTCTATGTCGATAATAACATTTTTAGTGACATAAAATTCTTATATTTCATTATTTTACTTTCAAATCAACATAGATATTACTCATCGAGTTAATTTATAAACCATTGTACAAATGACAAATTATTGAAAATGATTATTCACATGAACCACCATTTTACATATAAGTTTCAATCTATCTTGACGAGAAACTCCTCGACCTGCAGCTTTTGTCGCATGATGGCGGAGAGCACCACCTCGGTGCTGCACACCACATTCAAGGTCTTCTCCGACTGCAGCAAGTAGTACACCAGGTGCAAATCATTAGGCACCGTCAGCACCAGATAGCTGTAGGGTTTTTGTGTATGAAGTTCTTGTATGGACACGTATGAGCGACGGTTCTTCTCGACTTTTCCTCCACACAACTCTATCATCTCTGTTAGCGCTGCTCTGTTGGGTTTGACACAAGGAGTGAGGAAGAAAGTGATGCCTTCGAAGAGTTTCTTCCTCTGTTCGCCGCAGAGCAGCACTTCGGAGACGTCGCACTTGAACATTGTGTTGAATGCGTCGTCGTGTAGGCCGTACTTGGCTTCGTCTGCGAACTTGTTGAGGCGATGACTCTCCAGCAGCCACTCGCAGCCGAGCAGGTGCTTCACGGTGACGAGGCAGCTCACCAACTTGCATGTGCGCACCAACTTCTCCATGACTAGGTGCGTCGCCTCCGTCGGGGACGTCACCACCATACCGCCCAGTTGACTGTAAGTCGAATAAATCATCTATACTAATATTATAAAGAGGAAAGATTTGTATTTTTGTATGTATTCGCACGTAAAGACTACTAGGCCGATTTCAAAAATTCTTTTAAAGGTAAAAGAGCTAAAAAAAAGCTTTCTAGTTATCTGTGAGAAACATATTTTCTTAATTTCACGCGGGCGATGCCGCGAGCAACAGCTAGTTTGTTAATACTTTAGATGTTCGGTAAAAATTGATCAGCGGTTTTTGTAAATTCAGGCATTTATTAGTATTGATGACGTAAGTGGTGTTAGCGTAGTATACTGACCGCACGATGGCGGCGAGGCGCTGCTGGTCGTGCGCGGGCACTGCGGAGAAGAGCACGCGGGGGGCGAGGTGCAGCGGCGGGTGCGCGGGGGGCGGCTGCCCGGGGGCGAGTGCGGGGGGTTGTGCGGGCGCGGGGGGCTCGGCGGACTCGAGGCGCGGCCGCTTGGCCTTGCGCGCGCCGCTCGCCGCCGCCGCGCCGCGCTTCGCACGCTCGTGAGACTCCTGCGTTATGTTGATTGGCATCTTCCACGCGTCTGAAGTTATTATAAAAACTTATTAAGAACAACGAATTCAATATGACGACAATAATCTACAATTACTATTACTTACTCATTAAATGCGAGACGAGGCTGTAATCAATTCTGAACGGACTCGCCAAATTGAACTGCTGGTATTTCACATTTTCAATCTGAAAAATATACACACACAAAGCTATAGAATTTCATACTCAAGAAAGACTAAAATACTTTTTCCTAGTAGTAGTTAGTTCTAGCGTAAGTTCTGGTGTAATGTGATGTGGTGTGGTGTGATGTGGTGTAGTGTAGTGTGGTGTGGTGTAGTGCTGCGTGGTGTACCTGTGCGAGTGCGCTCATGTTGCCGAGCAGCAGGTCAGTGAGCCAGGCTGCGCTGACGGCGGGCACGCCCCACTCGCGCGCGCGCCTGTACTTGTTGCCCTCCGCGCGCTTGCATACAACCACTGTATTGTCGCGCGACAGATACGGCGTTAACTGCAATGTTGTTTATACTATAGTACTATCACTACATAACCGTATACCGGCTGACTTATTGCGTATCTCAAAACCCATAGTTAGTTATATTTATACAAACATCCATCCAAATTTTTCTTGTATTTTTAATATTAGGAATATACTGCCAATACCCACTACCGCCTGGAACTAAATCGTGGGAGAGCGCTTAAGGTCTGGGGAAAAATCGGTTACGAGTGCACCTTTGTACATCCTAAGAGTTATATCGTCTATTACTTTGTGACAAATCTTTTTTTGGGCATGAGGACAATGCCATCTATTCTAATAATATATTGAGCAAAATTTTGTTTGATTGTAATGAATAGGCTCAAAAACTACTGGGCCGATTTTTTAAATTTCTTCACTATTAGAAAGGTAATTTATCAGTAACAGGCTATATTTTTTTATCTATTTATTATTTTTTTTAATTCCACAAGTACGGAGACGGGAAAAGCTAGTGTTAAACATTGGTAAGACAGTAATGTACCTTGGCGCCAATGATCTGCACGCAGCAGGCGAGGCGGCGGCGCTCGTCGCGTCGCCAGCCAGTGAGGCAGAGGCGGTGGTGCCGCGCGGGGCGGTCGCGCGGCGCGTGCATGGCGGGCAGGTGCAGCGCCTGCCAGGGGGGCGCCACGCCGCGCCGCTCCATCGCGTCCGACAGCCAGTACGCTGTCACGCACCGCTTGGCGTCGCGCAGCGCCTGCATACATTCCATTTGGGTTAAAAAAAAGCCTACATACACACAAACACATTGGTTATTTGTAATTTCCGCTAGGTGGAGGTGATGATGTTTTTTTAATCATGATATTTTGGTATAGTAAAAAATTTACAACTATATTTTGTATAATCTCCAACATTTGTCCCGCAGAACATATTGAAGCGTGTAACATTTGAGTTGGTAAGTCAAGTCGTACAAACATTGCACTCGCCAGAGGAACGAAGTAGGGAGAGGACAGCTACTCCGAAAAATGTAGACCACACTAAACCTAGCCTAGATGACGTCACAATAATGATGTCGCAGTTACCTGTTGGTTTGGAGTGATTCTTAACAAAGATACTCTGATCTTGGGGTATAACAAGGTTAGGTGAGGGTCTACCCACTGGAACCCTCTCTGCGGCCTTATTCTAGTACTAGAAACGCCTTGCTAATTGTTCAACAGCACGGTAGGATGCGAGGTGTACCTGCATGACGACGCCGTGTCGCTGCGTCTCGCAGAGCACGTGCGTGACGCGCGCGCAGTAGTTGGGCTCCACCTCGCCGCCGCGGCGCTGGATCGCCTCGCACCACTTGCTGACTGACTCCGCGCCCAGCGACTGCTGGTACTCCACCTCAACGACAAACAGAACACACAATATATTTTACAGCTGTTGCAATTGGGTAAATTTATAATCTATGGTATAATTAAGTTTTTGTTTTTTAATCTACATTCCTTCATTCTAACTGTCAGTGTGTCAAGTGAAGTTATAGCGTTCAAGTCGTCGAGGCGATTTTTATTTTGTCCCTATTTCTCTATAATTCTCAACAACAGCATAGTTATATTGTGCGTACATATGCAAGCTGTACGATGTCGATTTATTTACAAAGAGTGTGTCCACTGGAAGAAGACACTGAGCTCTTGACATTTTAATTTAAAATATGATTGCTGTTATTTTTAATACTTATTTATGTAATGTGACTTCTTATTTATGTTGTTAACTAGTAGTCTGCTGCAGTACCTGTCGTTTGTTTCTGCTATAACACTGCTACAAACGAAGACTTTTCATTGGCTCTCAGTCAACTAGTTAGTAATTACTTACTTTAACTAGGCTATAAGTCTTCCATATGATAAATAAATAAAAACCGTGCAACAAAAATGAAGATTTCGGTTGCGATTGAATAAGCAGTTTAGATGTCGTTATATATTACCTATTTGTATAACATCTCTTATGTTGAAACTTGAGTTGTTAATACTTACAATATGAAAGACACATCCTAATAGGAAGAGTTCGGGCGGCAGTTTGAGGTTGGGATTGTGTCCGTAGAACTGCGCTCGCGGCGGCACGGCGCGCACCGCCCCGCCCACTCCCACCGCCCCGCCCACGCCCACGCCCGCCGCCACGCCCACGCCCACTCCGCTCGCGTACACCTTGTTGCCCACCACGCCGGGACCACCGGACTACAAACATTTAAACAGTCAAGTAATTTTACGGTGTATTTTTTTAATTTATTGCAATGAC